GAAGATGAGTTTAAGTCGGTAAGACAAGTTAGTTTGCTAAGAATGAACACAGAAGAAGGCTGACTTACCAACCAGGTTCCAGGGAGGAAGGCATCATCTGGGAGGTAAGGAAAATTGATTCCATCTGAATGAAGGCAGCTCATTCCCAAGAAAGAAGTGGGGGTGGCCATGGAGTTTTGGTAAGCATGAATAGGTTTTAAATATTTCCTCCCCATTTGGAGTTTTAGGTGCACATAATCAACTTAATTATAATCTTGGCTCATAATACCATGTAATCATTGGTCCTTGGTAGTCAGCTATTATTTATTGAGGTATCTTGATGGTTATTTTTAAAGGCTGTAATTCACATCTAGTAACTATCCAAAACAAAGCTAGAAATGTAACAATTACATACTTCTAATGGTGCTTCCAGCCTTGTTTCCTGCTTCTCCCACCTGAGAATCATCACCCTGATACATATTCTCCCCAAATTTACCAACAGAATTTAATTCCTCTGCCTGCACAGGTCAGAAATGAGCTCGAGGAAAATGCTTCCTCAAGGAAACCAGTAGGAAAGAAAAGAGTTTCCTTTTATCAGATGGTGCTGAATGAAACTTGTATGTTTCCTTATATTTTGTCAGCATACTGAGTATCCCTGGAAACTAAATATATGCCCAGAAAACTTTCTGAGGATCCTGCAAAGTGTTTGGACCTTGAATGGTTATTACTTTTTTGTTAGTGTAAAACCAGCGTTGTCACATTGAACACATGATGATACTGGGCATCTGCAAACCTATATTCTCATTTTGTTCCCTACATGTCCAAGTTTTGTTTCACATGCTGAGACTTTTTGAATATAAAACAAGTAGTCTTTCTGTGGATTAATGCTCCCTCAATTTTGAGTTTTCTGGTTTTCTTGCACAATGAAGAGAGTCCCTTCAAAAACAGAATAATACCGGGGCGCCTGGGTGGCGCAGTTGGTTAAGCGTCCGACTTCAGCCAGGTCACGATCTCTCAGTCCGTGAGTTCGAGCCCCGCGTCGGGCTCTGGGCTGATGGCTCAGAGCCTGGAGCCTGTTTCCGATTCTGTGTCTCCCTCTCTCTCTGCCCCTCCCCCGTTCATGCTCTGTCTCTCTCTGTCCCAAAAATAAATAAACATTGAAAAGAAAAAAGAAAAAAAAAAAAAAAACAGAATAATACCATTTCAGAGTTGGTCCAGGGCAACATCTCCCCCAGGGTATGACATTAATAACAAATGGCATTGTAATGGCAGAATCAGGTTTTTAATTTCATTGTATATTTGTAATCTATTCAAGTCATGCTTCGAATTAGTGGTTGACAAAAGAGCAACATACCCACGATGCCTGAGTTTTCCTGAGTTTGCAAAGTAGCTATGATTCCAAGTTTCACTGTAAACCATGTGATAGAACTAAACTCATCAAGTCAAGGAAGGAATGACCATGAGCCTTCATTAAAGAATAAGCTGCATGGCATAGGGATCTTTTCTGTGTAATCCTTGGCACATCTAGAACAAAAACCGGTGCATGATAGTAGTGTTCTTTGGGAAAACAGAATCCTAGTGATAAATAACAACAGTCACCTCCAGGTCCTGAGCACACTATACCTGTAGTGCCCTATGCTGGGTGGTTTGCACTGGCAGTTCAATGTAACCTGCACAGTGTAGGTGTTTTTGTCATTATTGTTTGTTTTGTTCTCTGAGGTCCAGAGAAGTGAAATAATTTGCTGTAGGTGACATAGCTATTAAATGCAGAACAAGGGTTTGAGTCATGTGGTTCTCCTATCCTGTCTTCCCAGAAACTGGAAAGAGATGTAGTGCTGACTTGGCTTTTTGTTTTGGTTATACCATCCACTAAGTAATGCTGTGCAAAATTATAGGTCCTCTGAGCATCAGAATCTTTGTTTTTGAAATGTTGGGCTGATAGTTGATCAAGAAGAACCAGATATAAATAATCTATCCACAACCTTTAGTTTAGGATGCCAGTGTCTTTTGATGTCTTGTATTCAAAGAAATACTTTGCATTGATCTTGATTTCCGGTAGTTCAAGTTTTGGATGACATGTTCCTTCTTTATTTGCTTTTCTGTTTTGTTTTTTTTTTTTAATTACTTTGTCATACTCTCTGAGGTTTGAGTAGGTAATGACTTTCTGTTCCAGATAAAGTCCATCAAAAAGTACTGTGTGCCTAGATTTCGTAAATTGTGACTAGGCTCAGACACAAATGGAGATTAGATAAGATGAACATGAACAGCTCCCTACCTCCCTTCTTTGGTGCCATACGTGCAATTTGGACATATTTATTTTTTCTTTCAATTTATAGACCATTTACTTAGCCCTTATGGAACTATCCAAAAAAGAACAAAGCTGCCCATGTGAATACCAGATTGCAGATTAACCTGCACTGTAACATATAAAGAAAAGGCAAGGCCTGTAGCCAAAGAAGTCTGCTTGAATCTTTGCTCTCTTGCTTTGCTACCTGAGTGGCCTTAGACAGGGTACTTTGTTTTTGAGCCCTGCTTTTACCTTTTTTGTGAAAGAAACAGTAACACCTATCTGTCATTTACATGATAAAGGTCACTACTACCATTATTAGAAACTAAATCAAGCATAAACAACAAGGGATGCCTTTAACCCATCTTGGGGAAGCCCTACCCCTTGTCAAATGGGCTTATATTGTCTGGGTATTAGGCAATTTGTTCCCACTCCGTGCTTCACCGTCATGACAATATTGGCATCAATCAATTTTATTTAACAAAATAGTTATTTAACACTATGTGCCACACACTGTTTAAAGGCCCTTACAAACACTAATTCATTTCGTCCTCACAGCACCCTATTTATTATGACATCTGCATTCTTAGAACATTACAAACATTATGCTTGCCACAAAACCTCGATCATTTCTTCGTAAGAGTTGAGTAAGTCAGGAGCACGCACGCATCTTATTAGGAATCTGTTTAAGTGTGTGTGCGCATGCGCATACAGCTCTGGCCCAAGTGCTGTTTGTTTCACTAAAGAAACCCAAGCTGAGCTTCTTGCTTCCTAATTCCTGTCGTCTTTTGGGGTCACTTGAAACTGCTCCTTACCAGCTTTCCATCTGCCATTTCAGCCTGCAACAACACTTTATTTTTTGTTACTAGCTCTGGTGCAGAGCTATATGTTAAATATCCTACTTGAAATGTCAGTCACCAGAGGCCAAATGTGTGATTTTGCAAGAGATTTTGTATACGTTTGTATGCATATGTTTATATACATATTGGTTTGTGATGAACATACCAAGGCTGATGTGGTCCAAATGTGTTTTGCATAGTCTTAGGGTACTAAGATGCTAGAAAATGGGAAATCGTATTTGAATAGCAAGGTACACGCTGTCTGTCCTCTGACAGATGTAAAGGAGCTCACGATTAATTACTAAGCTACAGAATGTTAAATTATCCAGGGGATGTTAAATGATGTGGAAAATGGTAATATTGTGAGAAGTTCTATGTATTTGAACTAGTGTTCAACTCTCCAGAGGTTTTTATGTAGCTTTTTAAAAGTTAAACCCATATTATTTGGGTGATGATGGCAAAATATAACGATGACATTTTTCCAGTGTGGCATATTTCTAGCAGCAATTAAAAGCATTTGCTCACCTAGGTCTCTTGTGAATGAAAGAAACTCAGTGGTAACAAGTTGCAATCATCTTCATTAATGACAAATTTTGCGGTTTTGGTACACTATATTATGGGTTATGCTGAAGGGTTTGATCATAAATTATCCAGCATGGAAGTATTGAGGAATTGTTAGAAAAAGAGTTTTCTTGTCAGAATAATCTGCAGAATATAGGTCAGTTCATTCAGCAACTACCGTGTGCTCAGGTTCTAAAACTACGGTACAGTGGGGAGCAAGAACAATCCAGTTACTTGTCCTGATGGGTCTTACAGGCCAGTGGATGAACTAGAAGGTGGTAACTAATTATACATAAGTGAACAATTATAGGTGGTACTGCTAAGGAGAGGTTCATGGAGCTACACAGCTAGTGGGTAATATGGGAAACCAACCTGGTCTCTGAAGGTTAACAGGGCAGCACTGAGTTGGGGTTTGGTTTATCAGAAGACTTAACAAAGAATACATCCTTTGAAACAGCATTTGCACATTGAAGCATTTCTCCTAAAGGAATAATTTGAGGTGTATTGAGCATTTTAGCTATAAGGACAAGGTAATGTTTTACTATGGAATTGTTGGAAACATCTTAAATATCCAACAGTAAGCACTTAGTTAAATTTATGTCATCAAAAATTATATAGACTATTCCAAATCTTTTAAAGTAATATACAAATGTTTTTATTATAATAAAAGATGTTTTAAAAATAGTTACAAAGAGTAGTTTCAAAATCGTATTTAAAATGCCTTTGCGTTTGGGGCACCTGGGTGGCTCAGTCAGTTGAACATCCGACTTCAGCTCAGGTCACGGTCTCGTGGTTTGTGGGTTTGAGCCCTGCGTCGGGTTCTGTGCTGATAGCTCGGAGCCTGGAGCTTACTTCAGATTCTGTGTCTCCTCCTCTCTCTGCCCCTCCCATGCTCATGCTCTATCTCTCACTGTCTCTCAATAATAAATAAATGTTTAAAAAAATAAAATAAAATAAAATGCCTTTGCCTTTGACCCTACCCTATCCTTTCTAGTTTCCTATTTGATTTAAAATTTATCAATAATCAGAATAATAGCAATAGTAATAGTTGCTCATACTAACTACCCCTTAGCACATGCCAGCCCTGTGCTAAATACTTAATATCCATTATTTCAATTGATTTCATATAAACCAGTGAAATAGGTATTATGTTTATTTCTTTTTGTATACAGAAACTTTTAAATATGTCAACACATAAGTATTCTTTCTGCAACGAAGAAAGAATTGTTTCTGTGTTCATGCTGTTCACCATGAGTTTCCTTATTGCCATCTTATCTAAGAGAAATCTCTTACTATTATTATTATTTATTTATTTATTTATTTTTTTGTGACAGCTTTCTGCCAAGAGGGCTGCAGGTACGGTGGAACATGTGTGTCTCCAAACAAATGCGTCTGTCCTTCTGGATTCACAGGAAGCCACTGTGAGAAAGGTAACCTTGCCTGTTTTGTTATTTTGGGAGGATAGGGAGTGGAGACAGAGAGAGAATCTTTCATAGAGAATGAAACTCTTTCTCTAAGTATGGTACTGTGGGTTAACTTGGTACATTATGTTTTGATGGCAGGTGTTCCTCTTCCAAAGAGGGTACATTTTGATTACAGAGTATTAGGGATCCTCCCTTTGAAAATAGGGCTTCATTTGCCCGCTCTCCAGCGTGTCTAATTTAGCAAGGTCGAGTCTTTTCTCTGCTATAGTTTGCTGTGTGCATTTTTAGTGCTAATTGGAGATAAAGCCTGATGAACTGACCTGCCCAACTTATCATCTATTGGGTAGCATAACATGCAACTATTGGAGTTGTAACAATCTGCTGCATCAACAGAATCTAGATTAGAACCACATGCTCTTTGCGTAAAAGCACATTAAATAACTCTAGCAGCAGGTTTATTGGTGTGCTTGGAATTTTATTCTAATATTGGTTTATAATGAACATTATCGTTCATGGACCTGATAATATAAGCCGATTAGTATTGGTAAGATTCCATTATGTGCATCTTTCTATTGGCAATAAATGTAATGTTTACACTTGGTGCTATCTGGTGAAATCCAGCTCTCTTACTAATTGAAGACGTCCTCCTACCTTTGTGTGAGTGAAAAGTGCCATTCGATGTCAGTGTGCCAGTGTGTGCAGTCAGTGCAGGCAAGGGGTTTATGCCACGTAAGGATGAACATTTCAGTGTATTTGCCCATGAGTTTTGTTAGGGTCAAACCACTGTATTGTGTTTTTCTGAGAAGGGAGTGTCACACTTGACACTTACCATAGAATAGCATAGAAAAATGGAAACAAGATGTTGTCATCATTATTCCTCTTAGTTGATGAGTTTGAGGGTGTCTTCCTGTAATGCCAAAGATCAAAGCAAAGCTCCTTTCCTTCATGTTTAAAGTTTTCATATTTTTAATGAGCCCAAACTGTCCAACAGACTACATTGTACTACCTATATATTTATAAGGCAGCCTGAGTCTTTATAAAAATATTTCAAAATTTACATAAATTATTCAACAAGAAAGTCAATGACATGCACACCATCGTTTCCATATTTTGTGATATTATCCACAAATCAAGTCACATTTATTAAATAATATTAATTGGCTTATCCTTAAGAAGAATGTGTCAAGAAGCCAAGTTCTACTTCTGAGCAGCGTATGAGAACATTACCCCACGGAGCTGAAATATTCTTGCCAAAAGCAAAGACACCAAATGGTAACTTAGCACACATGTCTTTACTGTAGTACATTTGATTTTGATTACGTTTTCTAAAATTAAAAAAAAAAAAAAATCTGAAGGTTTCCCATTTTTTCCTCTAGAACTGCTGTGTTTCCCTAAAAGGAGTATCCAGGGATTAATGGGGACAGAATGGTGATGGTGATGATGTTGATAATGATGGATACCACTCCTACCAATAGACCATTTATCATGTACCAGTTATGTGTCAGGCCTTTAAAATGAGTGCTTTAATATTAACACATAAAAGAGACTGATGTCCCTGCTCCCATTTTACAGATGGTAAACTAAAGCTTTATCCAGGTTGGCAACTTCTCTAGCCACTTCTGCAGTGCTACAGAGCCACTATTAGAACTGAGAATAAAATATAAGTTGCATTGCACAAAGCCTGTGGTACAAACCCTTGTGTGTGTTTCTCAAGGATAATAAATACATGGACTTCCTGTTAAAATCCAGACTCCTGGGCTACCACCCCAGACCTGGTGAATCAGGACGTCTGGGCGAGGGCCCACAAATCTGTACTTTCACCAGGCACTTCAGGTTGCTGTTATAAACTAATTGTTAAATTGTTATTGAGATATTTAGCCAGAACATCTGTAAAGTTCTTACTCTTTTTACCTTTTAAAGAATTAGGGGAGAGCATTTATCTTAGACCAATGCCCGAGTCAATGGCCGCTCATGAAAAATTAACTGTCGTTTCTGATGACTTGTTGATTTGACCTCTGGCCTTTTCTCTGCTTGATAAAGGGTTAACTGAATCAGTGCTTATGTTCCGGTCCATAATGTGGAGCAGGAAAAATAGAGATGAAGGAGAAAAGACCAGGGGAAAAACGAAACAAGGACAGGCAGGACATGGGTTCCTACATAAATGTTACGGTTGTTAAATTTGAGATTGACAATTGCATTTTCATGAATCTTTGCAGTTATTATAAGGTTAAAAAAATAAAACAAGGTTCTCCACGTGTGCTGCTATCTGCCATCAGTAGCAAAGCCATTCCATTAAATGCTGGCCAGTATTCTTTTTTTTTTTTTTTTTTTTTTTTTTTTTTTTTTAATGTTTACTTCTTTTTGAGAGAGAGAGAGAGAGAGAGACAGGGTGTGAGCAGGGGCAGGGGAGGGGCATAGAGAGAAGGAGAGACCCAGAACTTAAAGTGGGCTCCAGACTCCATGCTGTCAGCACAGAGCCCAATGTGGGGCTCGAACTCACAAACCGTGATATCATAACCTGAGCCCAAGTCAGATGCTTAGCCAACTAAGCCACCCTGGTGCCCCATAATGCTGGCCAGTATTCTAATTCTGTGAGATTTTTTGTGAGTAGGATCAAGTATACATTTTCCAGTCAGTTGTGTGCAAGGGATCTAGATGAATTTAGGATAAACACTGAAAACCTGTGCCATATCTTATCTGAATTATTTTGTCACATTGATCATTAGCAAGAAGCATTAAGTAATTCTGTTTGAATAGTGATGTTGGATACCTTGAGTCTCAGAGTACAAGGGAAAATGCAAGCGCATTATGAATGTCTCATAGCATGATTAGACTAAATCTTTTATTTGGTTTGTTTCAATTTCAGGGCTAATTAAACGGTCCCATTCGAGCTATATCGAATTCACTTATGTTTCGTCTTAAAAATGTTTCCATTGCCCCCCCCCCCGTTATTGGTTTTATCCATTGTGATATTCAGCCTTTCAGAACATAAGTACATTTAGTTAAATCATTGAAATAATTTGTTAAAAAAATGCCTGTTTAGAATTTAATGAAGTTAAGACTCCCACCTGTGTTTTTTATGTTACCACAAAGATAAACAACCCTGCATTTATCTTCTATTGATGAGATTTTAGTAAATGTAAGCTTTTTATAACCCCACTCAGGATAAGCAAAATTTTATCTTCCTTGGTTTTTGGACAGTATATTATGTTGGTCCTTCTCTATGCCCTTACCTTTGATTTGGTTTCAGCATAAACATTGAGATGTGTAATGAGAGATGAGTGAAGAATCAGAAGTCATTTTGCTACTTTTTTAGGATAGAGCAGCTAGAGAAAGCTTTCTTGTTAACTTAAGGGAGCTAATAGGACATCATGCCAAAGTGACGTAACGTAGCCAAACATAAAACAAAATGAAACAACACAAAGTCCTCCCAGAGACTTTTCAGTGTGAAATCAAGGAGCTGCACTAAATCCAAAAATAGGTAACCTACCAGAAAACAGCAGAACATCATCTTCTGAGAAGTGAATGAGAATAAGCTTTCTACTTGGCATTAAGCAAATGTGCAAGCAAGAACAAGTAGACATTACATATAAGGTATCAAATTATGTCCAGCTAAAGGTTTCATAAACTTGACAGTAGTGACCTTGTGGACCAGATAGTTCTTGGTTGTGGAGGGCTGTCCTGTGCATTGTGGGTTATTTAGCAGCATCACTGGACTCTGTACTCACCAAATACCACTAACTGGGTCATCCCCAGCCAGGACAAGCAGAAATGTCTCTTGACATTGCCAAATATTGCCTGGGAGGCAGAATTAATGCCTACTGACCACACCGGGTTAAGATGTAGCATTTTAAAAAATCTTTACAAAAATTTTATGTATGTATGCACACACACATATGTATTTTAGGTAAATGTATCTCAGTATTAGTTGATAATATAAAACTTATAAGCATTTTTTGGCAGATAAAACATTTTTAGAAGTGCTCAGAGTCACTATAATTAGAAAATTCTTGACCATCCAAGAACCAGAATCTGGCTTATATCCACCATGTGCTCTGTGAGATGCACCTTCTTATTGTCATAGGCACCAGGTTGATGTGGAAGCTCGGTCTACTTTCTCCCACCGACAGAATAAACAGGTGAATGCTCTAACCGCACTCAACAAGTAAGTTACTCTAACCCTTGTGTTCTAAAGGAAGAGAAAACCCTTTATTCTTTCTTTTTCTTTTTACAAAGTGCTTTTAATATGTGTAGTAAGAAGATAATGTCTCATAATATAAAACTTAGACACACACACATCGTAAATGGAATATTCTCTAAAATGATTTCTCTCTGACGATACTAGGCAGTCAGTTTTAGAAAGCGTTTTGACTGGGATATAAATGAAGATGTTCTCGTCTGGTGGTGGTACAGACAAGGCATCTAATTTTACTACATTTTCCTACTTGTATATTTGAATTCTATATACATTCTATACATGAATTCTAAGCTGTATACCCAAGCACTTATAACCAGGATCTTGTGAATCAGACACAGTTGGACAGTACTTATCAAACTATAGGCTAGACCATAGTCTAATGTAAAAAATTATAAAGAAATTATACTGATATCCTAAAATTAGCAGACCTTGACTTTCTCCCACATTGCTTCAGAAATGGGTTCCTTTATTGTAAATATTGTTCAATAAACTCACATAACCATTGAACCTCTCATAATCTGCAAACCTTACCAAAGTATATTAAGTACCTGATCAAGAATATTCAGTTGGGGGGGGGCACCTGGGTGGCTCAGTCGGTTTAGCATCTGATTTCTGCTCAGGTCATGATCTCGTGGTTCATGAGTTTGAGCCCTGTATTGGGTTCTCTGCTGTCAGTGTGGAGTCCGCTTTGGATCCTCTGCCCGTCCTCCCAGCCCCCAACCTTCTCCGCTTGTATGCATGCACACACATGTACTGTCTCTCTCTCAGAAATAAATAAGCATTAAAAAACAAAAAAAAATTTTAAGGA